TATTTTTTAATATATATACAAATTACTTTAGTTACCATTTCAGATGAGTCTAAAAATCATGTAAAATGCTTTTCACAATTAAATGTGTTCTGATGTTTCTAGCAGGAATTAAACTGACTAAAGTAAATCCATACCTTAAGCTCATTTAAACACTAGCATTAATAATTATTTCAGATAAAACATCTAGTTAATACGATTCTTTTTGTGAGAAGATCCAAACGATCACAGTGATCTTTGAAAATGTGTGGGTTTTTTTCAGATTACACTAGTTATCTGGGCAGTGATTCGAATCGGTCCCAATGGTTGTGACAGTATGGAGTTCCATGAGAGTGGCTTGTTGCGGTTTAAGCAAGTTTCTGACATGGGCGTTATACATCCATTATATAAAAGCACTGTAGGAGGTAGACGTAATGAAGATTTGGTGATCACTGGAAATAATCAGCCTGTAAGTTATATCATGAATTGAAAGTTTGTCAGCAATGCTATGAAATTACACTCACATTATTAATAAACATTATATTTGAAACATCATTAACATAATGACTTTGTTTCTGAAGATTGTATTTCAGCAAGGAACAACCAAGCTTAGTGTGGAAAAAGACAAAACATCTATTACCAGTGATATTGGCATGGAATTTGTTGACCCACGGACACAAAATACCTTGTTCAGCACGGACTATGAAACTCATGAGTTTCATCTGCCAAATGGAGTTAAAATCTTGAATGTACAAAAGGCCTCTACAGAGAGGGTATGTCTCGTTTAACTACTTCTTCCTTTTTGTAAAAGCTCATTACAGGATTGCTGCAGCTGTAGAATAAGAAGAAAGTTTACTAGCACAATCTTTCAAGCATATTTAGAAATTTGACTAAATGTAGCTAAAAATGCAGCTCTGAAAATGTAAATCACCCTAAAAATTAGAACAGAAATGAAAACTGACATCATTAAATGAGTGTAATATCCAGAATACCATGCCAACTAGGCCTGTGTGTCTTTTTATTAAGCATTTGTCCATTTTTGTGTGCTTAGATCACTGTTTCAGAAATAAAATTTCTATGAAAAGCTTCTCTGTTTCTAGTGAGAACTTACAAAAATAATTACCAGAACTTCATGTGTCATTTTCCTTCTATTGGAGATAAATGTTAATACAATGAGAATTTCAGAAGTCTGAGTAAAACTGTAGAGAACAATCACAGCATTATAGGAGTTACATCAGTTCACAGCTTCTAGGTTAAAGAAGTTCTTAGTTGGTTTCTACACTAAATATGCTTTATCAGAAAACTAAAAAACCTAAATATTGGTGTTGTACATTTAAAATGTTGATCTGAAATTTGAAACTGAAATTTCTTTCTTGTATATCATCACTTATAATAAAGGCTTTACAAATAGAGTACAGCTTCTAGTTCTTTGGTATAACATTAGCAGAGTAGTATCAGTGGTTTTGTAGAGGGTTGAGTGTGCCGTAGGAAGCACTGAGCAATCCTGTTAAGGACAAACAAAAAAGAAAATTTAGTTTGCTTTTCTTTGTGTTTCCTCTGCAGGCTAACAATTAAATAGTATGCTCCATGAAAAAAAAACAAACCTGTAACTTTAAATACATATGAGGAACAGATTAAATGAAAACAGAGGAGTAAATTTACATAGTCACTCCTAACAGAAAGCCTATATTTGCTACCAGTATTAACTGTGTATCCCATAAACTGTCATATGAATTGTTATTTTTATCACAAACAACATGCAAACATAAACTATTTTACATACCTTCCAAAATTAAGTAATCCTTGTTTTCAAACGTGACTGTGGAAATGGGCAGAAGCTTCATAGGCATAATGAGAGAAGGGCAAAAAGCGCATTGAAGGTTTTTATTAAATTGTGTAACAATATTTTTAAGGTAAAGTTACTCAGATAAACCCAAGCAGCACGTTTACATTGATCTGTAATAGGCTTTTTTTTGTTTATGTTCTTAGATTACCAGCAATGCAACCAGTGATCTAAACATAAAGGTTGACGGGCGTGCTATTGTCCGTGGAAATGAAGGTGTTTTCATCACAGGCAAGACCATTGAGTTTCGAATGGGGGGTAACATGGAACTTAAAGCAGTAAGTATTTCAAATCAGCATTTTTTTTAACAGCTTAGCTTCAAATTCAGGCTGATAGTATCCTAATCATGCTTTATACGGATTCAAATGTTATATAAAGTAGTCATGCATAAATTTGAGTTGTGGTCAGTGTATTTAGTAAAGTTTTTTAAAAAGTGGATTACTACTTTGCTGTTAATTAGTGGTTCAGGTAACAATGATTTACTACTATTAAGAAGCTAAAAACCCACAATGCAATTAAAGCTAAGCTATTGGCCTCTGCACTGAAATGAATACCAAAGGGAATTCACCTCTTCTGGAGGTTTTACTGGGGACAGCAATGTTTGACAGAGGGGCAGAGCATACAGTCAGGAGCACTACCTCCTGTGCTGCTGCAGCAAGACTCACCAGCATTCATTGAAGATTTTTGGACATTGTTAAGATTGCAGAGCATACAGAATGATGGAAAGGTTAAAGGAGGATAAAAAATAGAGATACATGCACTTTATTTAGTGTGTGAATTAATTTCATGTATGAATTCAAACACCAATTCCCATTTCACGTACATATTTTTAGATTTATTGCATTTGCTAATAGATCTGTCAAGTGAAAAGCCATACTGCTGCTGTCTCTCTCAATATCGATCTACCACTGAAATAGCAAAGTACATTGCTGGCTATAATTGAGAAATTCATGGGCATTATTCACAAACTTAATTAAAAAATGAACCCTTTTTATATGTACTTTTTTTTGTCTGTTGATTTCTACAGCCATCCTAAAGCTGTCATTGATTCATTAAACCAACTTGTCCTTTTCAAAAACAACCTGCCTTGTTTAAATTCTCCCTCTTAATAGGAAAACAGTATTATCCTGAACGGAACTGTGATGGTCAGCCCATTGCGACTGCCAAGTTCTTCTTACGGGGAACAGTTTAATAACGGCAACTGGCTGCGTTTCAAGCTCTGTATGTGTGCGGATGGGACACTATTCAAGGTTCAGGTGACTGGTTATAACATGGGTTGTCAGACTTCTGTCAATCCGTGTGGAGCCACGCACTAAACCACAAACCACTACTGGGAGAGTTCTCTTTTGTGTTTACATATATTTGTATGAAGTAATTGCATGCCTTCAAGGATTTCTGTTTTTACAGCAGTTTATACTAACATTTATTACATAATATTTTTAAGCAAAGGCTGATAATGTTCAGCGGTATTATGTCATCATCCTGTTAGCTGTAATAGTGGCACTGCTTTAGTAAGCTTTAAGTCTACTGAAGTACTTTCCTCAGTTGGGATCTGTAGAACATATCTAAAGAACATGATCTTAGCAACAATCATCTCGACTGCCTTTAAAGGAGGATTTTGTCCTACATCCCAAGACCTCAGTGGCTGCTGAGAACACAACTGTGATCTGAAGTATTTCAACAAGAATGTTGAGTTGTTGCTGGAAGTGGATTTGCCTGGGATGGCTGAAGCGGCAAATTTTTGTCTTCTCTTAATTTCTTACTGAAGGTTGATACAATGATTTCCCCCAAAATTATGCGGTTTACCAGATGTGTACTAAGAAAGAGAGGAATAATGGCAGGTTCACTTTAAAATATTGCGTTATTTCTACCCTATACTCTCACGTAGGTGAAGAAGAAATTATGCTAGCACAAATAATATTTGCAAATTAATATCAAGTGTGGAAATGTAACTTCAATTTTGAAATATCTTGTGATTTTTGAAGTGTTGCTTGAGCTCCCATTCTGTCTGTGCAGTTTAGGGATTCTACAGTTGCTTAATCTATGTGAAGTATTTATAAAATGTGTTTATATTAGAAGTACATTTTTAAAGATGTACATGTAACTTGCTCACTACCCAAAAAAAGTATTTTCCTGGGTACTTTAATATGAACAGTGTATGAATTCATTATTCAACAGGTAATAATCTGAAGCATGACTGTAAGCAGCAGTGTCTGAGATCAGATCTTTTTCCCCATAAATGCCAGCACTGATGCATTGTTGAGAACCTCAGAATGAAATTCTAAAGTTAAACTGCAGGTCTGTAATTCTAAATGCGATGGTATCGAATCCTATGACAGCAGAGTAAATACACGTGTATCTGAATTTGTCAACAGTGAAACTATGGTAAACTGAGACCTAATTGAAACTGTTAGAGCCTTGTAACTGCTTTTGCAGAGATAAGGTGTTCCAACTCATTATGAGTTTCCCACTCCTCCCTCCCCATGTATTTTTTTCAGTTTAAAATAGTTTGTTTTGCAGGAGCATCAAGTAACCTTAATAACGGAGGCCACAAAGGTGATGCTACAAGTAATTTTTTGACAAGTTTTTCTAGATAAGCACACGCTTCTCTTCCTAGAAGTTATGCAAATGTTACACATTAACTTCAAAATTGGTCATTTGTTATGGGAAGATAAACTATCTACCCTTGTTTTATAGCTCTCACAGTACATAGAATTCCATAAAACACAAATCAGCTCCTGCTGCAACAAGAGCTTCATATCTAAGGTCCGGATTGCTGTATTTACTAGAAGCCCTCATGCAGGATGTGTATAGATGGAAGTGATTTCTAGAGGGGGATCCTTAGGTCAGGCATTGCACCACACAGGAGGTCAGAGGGGTCACATTTCCCTCATTGCAAAGCCAGATTTTGATGGTCAGTAGTTGTTGGGGTTTGGCAGGGTGGACAGCAGTGCGGCTGTTCAAACAAAAATGGAGTAAACAGAATAAAATGTAGCAAAAGCCATTGAATTGCTCACATTAAAGATTATGGGAAAGTATTAACATTTTGCATCCTGCCTTCATGGACTTCATAGTTTTACTACTGTTAATTTTTATTAACCACTTCAACATGCATTTTGCTGAAAACATGCACACATCTTTGCTGCTAAGTAGTGCACCAATTAGTGTCTGTTACCATTAAGAGGAGGAAGTAAACTATAACATTTTTAGAATTTTCATTCATGCTAATGGAAGTTTGTCACTTTATTTTTCTACATATATATATATATAAAAATAAACACACACACACACCTATAAAACATAAGCAGCAGCATCCTTGAATCTGAAATAGATCTCGAAAATGACAGATACTGCCTCTGTCAAGTCTGATACATACAAATAGGATATTAAAGCTCTTTGGTTAACACTGCCACGCCTATATGCTAGCCTTGGATTCCTGTAATTCTCAAGAGTTCTTTTTAAAATACTTTATGCAACATAGCTGAAAGATTTGTCACAAAGGTTAAAATCATGGTTTGAAGAATTGGTCTTGAAGTGTGGATTTTCTGTCAAAATGTAGCAAAACTGATCATACAAATACCAAATGAAATAACTTACCAATTTCTTAGCCACTATTTATGTATTGTTAATATATTTTGTTGCCTTCACTACACAGTTTGAGAAATGCTGGCACCAGACGTGCCCTGTGTTGTGCATTTATTTGTTGTTTACCTTCTAACTGCCTAAGGTACATTCTTCTATACATATTTAAAACACTATGTGGCACATTATTTATTTCAGTCCCACAGATGCACTTAAGTTTCTGTGTGTTTAAAGTACATTCTTCATGCCTCTGTGTAATATACCGTACTGGGTACGCTGAGAGAACTTACATGTGAAGAGTTCTCAGCATATGTAAAGGTGGTGATTGTTTCAATAGGTGAAAGACAATTGAATTTCTAATCTTTGTTTTGAAATGAAATAATTTCAATAAATTCTAACATGCAGCTGTGGTTCAGAAGTGTTATTTGTAAGAATATAATTTTTCATTAAAAATACATTGTTGTGTTATTGTCAGGGAAACTAGTATTTTATTAACTGTAAGAATGAAAGCCATTCTACATCTATTCGTCATGGATTATATCTGGTGGACTTTGCTCGGTGGTAATTGTGTATGATACCTAAAGTAGAGTTCAAAAGTCCCCATTGTTGTTACTTCAGGAGTTCCTGGGACGCTGTGTTTCTCGACCGAACAGCTGGAAAAGAAAGGTCTGGATTGTTTTTTGGGAGAGGTGGAGGGAGGGGGAAGCGTTACCAGTTTATGAATGTTCCTTTTGAAACATACCTCAGAGTCCAAAACTATGTTTAAGGCAAAATGTTAGTAATGCTTTGGGTATTTGGTGTTGAGTTTTTTTTAACGTCAAAGTATTTCCGCTTTCTGTTTAACTCTTGTTGTACTGAACTTACCGTAATTTTACATTTTACATATAGATACTATGGATAACCTTCACTTGAGTGTCATAGCTGTGGTCCTTTACTTTAATCTTCCTGGATCAATGGGAACCAAGTCACAGCGGATTCTTCTTGATACACATCACCATTCAGACTGCCGGTGGGATGGGGAGTTCTCAGCAAATTGTTCTTTTACCGGAATATCTACTATTCCAGAAGATGTGTCACAAACAGCAACCACAGCTGATTTTAGTTACAATAATATTAAAACTTTCATGCATACTGATGAAAGAAATGACAAATGGATGCTGAAACACCTGAATCTCAGTAACAACCTGATTTCTGAACTCTCCTTAACTGCTTTTAGAAACTTACCCGTTTTAGAAACTCTCAACCTCAATGGTAATGCCATCCACACCCTCACACTGGACGTACCTATGCCTGCACATGAGTCTAAAAAGCAAGGAAAAAGCTGTCACCTCCTGCCTGCTCTGAAAGTATTGTCAGTTGAAAGAAATAATCTTCACGCAGTTCCAAGAGGTAAGCTCTCAAAATCTTTAAGGACCTCACTCCGAAGCGGTAAGTTGGTTTTGGATATGATTCGGTGCGTCTGGCTGAATTCAGAATGCGACTAATCCTCTCATTTAGTTATGCTTAAGGGTAAGGAAAGTTCCACCTGCGTGTAAACACAGAGACTGAAGCAAATGGGTTGTTTCGGGTTAGGTTGGGCTTTTTTATAAAGTCTTTGCAATCGTAATGCCTCAGTGTCAAATACAACCAAATTTATCCTCTGAGAGCCCAAGCAGTATTTTTCCTTCTTGTATAGAAAGGGAAGTAAGGATCTTTGGAAAAACACCAGCCTCCACAATCCAGTCATGAACCTGAACATCAAGAAAATTATGGATAATGAGTTTCATATTACTCTTCAGAAGAAAGTCAGTACTCCCTTAAATAAAACTTGCTCCAATTTCAGTATTTCACGAAGACAGGAAAATACATTTTGTTCAGTCAAAATTTTGCTCTATGCCTTCTGACACCCAACCAAAGTGACACCTTCTAGTAACCAGAGAGGGTTGTAAGTTTTCAATAGGCTTTCAGAAAGTGGTTGCTAGTCGCTGAACTGTGCTATGCGTCATAGCCTTTATGACAGCCTCTAGCCTCATAAACAGATGGTTCGCGTTGTCCAAACAGTGTTCAAATGAAGCAGAACCTGCAGTACAAGCAACACTATCCTATGTATTGTTTGTTGAATTTAATTGTCTCTGTGATATCATCATCAGATTCATTAGCTCTAGACTTTGAAAATACTGGGGAGGGGCAAACCAAAAACCCATTTATCTCGCAAAGTCAGACAAAGGGAATAATTTTGTGCCTACACAGGATCCTTGAAGTTCTATTTTTCTCCTTTTTTATATTAAATAATTCTCTGGCATGCAGGAAACCATTTCACTTAAATATTTTGTAGTATCTGTACGGTTCCCATATAGACAGTATAGAAAAGCTTACATTCTAAAATGCATTGATGCTGATTTTATTTGTTTTGATAGCTAAATATGACTACACATTGTAAGATGCCTCAGTGGGTCAGACAGATCAACCCTTTTCTGTAGGAGACCCAGTTTTTAGATGTTAGAAGTCAAATTGCTATGCATCATACCACCATACCTCAAGTTATAGTTAAATCCCACATTCATTTAAATACATGTTCAGAACTTCATTTTCCCTCCTCCAAAACACTTTCCTAACATTCTAGTTTTTAAGTGCTGGTAAGAAAATGCAAACTGAATTTCTAAAGCAGAGGGGTTTGGCCACAGAGAAACCCTTCTCACAACCGCCACCACCACCCCAGGTGTCGGGCTCCTGCCCACTGCTGCCATACCAGCCTGTATTTATTTGTAGCAGAAGTTTAGCGTCAGGGAAGCATCCACACTACAAGGAAGAACTGACGAACTGCCAGAACCTCCAAATGCCTCTCCTCTCAGCTACCTCTAGTTTTACAGCAGGAAGGAATCATTCTCTCTGCTTTTCACAATAAACCCAAAGAAAACAGAACAGCAAACTGGAGTAAGAGATTTCCAGTAAACCAGATGACAGCAGGGGCAAAATTTTTTAAGGAGAACTGGTATCTTCTCAACAATGCTTTTTGATCAAAAATGACTGTAGAGTGACATTCAGGTGTTACAAACTGTGGTGATGCTGAGTGCTCCCACTGGAACTTGCAGGCTGGAGCTTTGGGGCTGCCTGCACAGCACTGATGAAAAATGCAGTATATCTCCAGCATTCCAAAGGGCTACTTATGCAAGACAGATGCTGTCATAACTAGGGTACGCTGAAGAATATACTGTCACGTTTGATAATTCACAGGCAGACAGGCATAAGCAACAACGTGGGTTTGTTTTCAGTCAAGTTTACATCCTATGCATGCAGTTCAAATAATTCCACATGTGAAAAACTCCAGTGAACTTGCAGATGGCAATGAATAGGAGATAGTGTATCACCCCTTGCATCTCCATCTTTTATTTACAGTTAACATATCTGGATTTTATAAACTCGGTATATTCCACCTTTTTCCCACTCCTCCTTTCCTACCTCCAGTTCTCCAGAGAAGCGTGCTCAAAGTCGAGAGATCACAGTCAGAATAATTTTGATAGCACAAAGGAACATTACTGCTTTTATGGAGATGTGAATTTTTAAAACATGCATCGATTGTGAATGTATTAATGTGTCTGCTGTTGATGCTACGCAACTTTTAGAATGGGACAACCACTTGAATAAGAAAGGCATGGCAACTCAAAGCCTGCAGCCACTCGTTGCGATAGATGTGAACGGAAGGAATTTTGTGGCAACGGATTTTAAAAAGCCACTTGACGCGATTGGGAAAGCAAGGATGTGAAATATAAAATAGTTTTGTTCTTCCTAGGACTGGGCCTGCTGCAGTCTTTGCAAACTGTCCATTTGTCATCCAATGGCATACGACAGATCAATCTGGATGATTTTCAAAACTGTTCACAGCTGAAGGACATCGACTTGCAAAACAACAAGATAACTAAAATTCATCCAGATGCCTTCAGGGACCTCAACAAATTACAGGTTGTAAAGGAATATGACAACTGTTTCAATGGTTTGTGTTAATCACCATTAAAGATACTATCAACTATTCAGCATGATTCTATTGGTCTTTGATTACTATATTAGTATACAACTACAAAAAAAAAGAAAATGGTGAAAATAATTATTATTTTGATATATTTGCTTTTCATATATAGGAAACCACACACACTTGTAAATACACAAAATAAAACCATCAATTCATCATTTATCTATGCCACAAGCCAGTAACTGGCTTAAACACAGAGGTCCTTTTCTACCCCCACCCCTTCCATGGCAAAAGCCCCGTGGCTTCCCATTCACACAGAGGTGGTTTACAACGGGAGAATTCTGAATATACCACAATTTAAGCTTTTCATTTAAATTAAAAAGCACAGAACAATATTCTTGAAATCCTAACCAGATGTATTGTTCCCCTAACTGCAAAAGCACTGGTAAATTAAAATAAATGTTATTGTTGATATTGCCATTAGGATTCCATTGTAAGATTTATCGAATTAATTGTGAAATATTTCCCAGTAGGTCATGGATCTCCGCGAAAATGCTCTGACAACCCCTCTACCACAGGTATTAATCAGTTTGAACTTCTTTCAACTTGAAGTGGATTTGTCAAATAACGGCTGGATGTTTAACTGCAGACTAAATGTTTTCAAACATTTATTTCATTTTTTTTTTGACTCCACGAGGAAAAAGTGGAGTATTTCCTACAATAAATCTGCCAACAACTCACAGAAACCTCTGCTGTACCTTTCAAGTTTCCATTTAAACTGCCGCGATGTTTTGCTCAAGAGGGCTGTAATCCCAGCCAGGAAGACATCGGTGTTAAACTGTGATTTGGACAACACAAGGGGTATGTACAACCAGGACTTTATCCATATGCTGCTAAAATTCAAGTGCATGCAGAATGATCAAAGAAATCTGGTTTAAAAAGTGAATTTCTAAAGATACTGTTTAACATGAACTGAACAATTTAACGTGCAAATTATTTCATTAGACTGTAGTATACCAGTTAGACTATTTGAAAGTCACCTTTCCAAAAAACAGTCTTCATCTCCTTCCTTACATTAAACTAATAAGCAATGCCAAATTATACACAAATTTCAGTAAGTAGTACGTTGCGAATTTATCAGTTAATTTTGGAATGCAAACAAAGGACAGAATAGTGGGGTGGCACTTCCGGGGCATATAAACTGAAAAGGATACAATAGTGTTTCTAGTATTCAGTTATAGCAAAATGAAAGTTTATTTGCAAGGGAAAGGATTTATATTTCTTCTAAAAAAGTACAGCTACTGTAGCACACAGTTCACTTTGGAAATGAATTCAGCACTTACAGTTAATACAGAGCACTTGAAGTGTAAGCGACAAAAATCTACAGAGCTAAGACTTCCCATGCAGAAAGAAAACTAAGACCAAACTTAGAGTAGAAGGTGTATTTGTCACGTGCCGCAAGGCCAAATGGTTTAACTCTAATGGACTAATAGCACTTGGAGGCTGGTAAGGCTTTCCCCTTGGAACGCTTTATCCCCAGATGAACATACATGGGGTCCATCAGAAATGCCACCTGCTTTGTCTGTTAAGAAGGAAAGTCACAGAAACTGATCATGGAATTAGAATTAAAATCAAACACACTGGATTGCACCAAAACCCAACTGGGAGCACAAGCAGATCCAAAAGCAAAGGTGTACATGCAACCTTGAAACATATTCCAAAAGCCAACAACCAGCCATGGCCTACACTAGCTAAAGTTGGAACAATTGCTCGGCCGATAGAAACATCCTTAGTTTTCAAACCTTTTTGCTGCAAAGCAGTAACTACAGGAAAATCACGGTGGTTGAAACATTGACAGTGATCTAGTGTTTAGTCTCCTAGCTGCACACAGTGACCATGGTCACGCTGGAGAATGGCTGCCTAGAAATAGGGATCTTCCAGAAGGGAGATCAGCAAGTGTTTCTAGTACAACCCAGAACATACTTGTGTAATTTCAGTGACCTCCTCCCTCACCCACATCATTTTTCTTGTAAAGTCTGCTATTAAGACCCCATACATACTGTGTTTTAAATGGGGGGGGGGGGGGGGGATTAAAGGGGGGGGGGGGGGGAGGAATATATGATCATTTAACAGATACTTGGTACCATGTAAAAAAATGACTATGAATGGATAAAAAGAAAATGGATTTTATAATAAATAGCTAAAATTATCACAGATAGGTCAGAGTATGTCCTTATAGAAATAACCTGACCCTGCAAACCAAGTATCCTATACCTTTAAGAAAGATTTAGTTTGTATTTTCTTTTATTTCAGGTAACGGAGTCTCTTGGTGGACACCTAAAGGCAGAATTTCAAAAGATAATCATCTTCCTCATATGGCACTGGATAAAATGAATAATTTAGTGATATACAATGCTGACAAAACTGCTGACGGGTTATATCTGTGTATTTTTAATACAACAAAGATGAAATATCTCATCTACAACATACAGGTGAAAGAAAAAGTTTCAACATTTTTGGTTAGAAAAGCCCGGGACACTAACACTGGTTTTCGACAAGGAAGAACAGAGCAAGACCTTGCATTGGCCGTCTGCCTCTCCGTGTTCATTACATTTGTTTGTGCTTTTTGTCTGGGTGCTTTTGCTAGACCCTACCTTGTGAGCCTGTGGAGACTCATGCGCAGGAACAAAAATTCAGGTTCAGAACATACTTATTCTAATCAAGCTTTTTCAGATGAAACCTTGAGCAGAGGGTGCTCTGCAAGCAAACCAATGCAGCATAATTTGTTCATTAGTGATGAGAATTCTTCAAGAAACACATGCATTTTTCCTACAGAAACTTCTACTTTGCATGAAAGTGTCATTGATAGCAGTGTACGTGCACCAAATACGGAAGAAGAGTACCAGAAAGAAAGCAATAATGAGATCTATGTGAAGAAAAAACCAGCATTTTCAGACATCAAAACTAGTATCAACAATTATGAAAATATAAATATTGATGATAATGGACTATATTCTGTAAGGACAGATTACAAGAACAGCAATGAAGTAACACCAAGAAAATTAAGGAGTAATGACATTTCATTGTGGGAAGATTCAAAATATGCAAATAATGAAGACTCAGAGAAGAGCAGGTTCCCTCCTGTACCCAGGAGATTGAATGCTGACTCTTACTCAAATTACACTGACTCTTCAGATCTGGATTTATCCTTTACGGAAAAAACTGGCTTTCCATTTTCCACAACACAAACACATACAGTTGCACAAGATTCTAGGAACAGCCAGGTAAGCAACAACTCTGGTCTGCTGCGGTCTGAAACCACAAAGGCTCCACCAGAGTCTCCTGAAAGAGAAGGTATCGTTTCACATAACGAACCCATAAGCATTACAAAATTTATGCCCAAAAGGCAAAGCTGTGATGAACAATTTGGTCTAAATGGCAACATAAATATAACCGGTGATGTAGGAGATTTTATTTCACCCGGTAGCTGCAAGAGAAGCACAAATATTGAGAATTTAAGTGTCTACCAAACAATAGAAAACGCTCCTCTTAGGGATTACGACTGTAAAACGGAACGTACAAATGAAAAATATGCTTCGGCAGATATATTTGGCGATAGTTCTTCAGATGAAGGGACTCCATTCACAATGAGCGACTGTAGTTCTCTAGCAGACTTTGAACTGGAACAACCCGGTGTTAGTGACAACCCACCAGTCTGTCAGTCGTCAGTAGAGGAAGCCAATACAAACAGTGGAACCGAGAAGTTCTCAACACTGCCAGAGTCTCCAAACATTGCTGCTGAACTTCAGCATATTGGGAAACATAAAGACAGGAACAATGGGTATTTTGAAACCACTATTAATTATGGATCAGATACCATCATGCCTGAAACAGCATCGCCTTACACTGATAAATGTAGTGACCATATAAGCATGTCAGATTCAGACACAATTAGTTCTTCAGATCAGGAAGTTCCTGATACGTTTGATTATTTTACTAATGAAGAGTCAACAGTACAATACTCTGATTCTCTCCACAATCAAAATACAGATTTTGGTAATACGTTACTTTCATTAAAACATTCTCCCACATACAACACGGATACAGAGAGTGCTCCTGAAGAGGCTGAATTGCAGCTGTATCAGCTTGCCATTGAACCTCAGCATCCCCTCAGATTCAGTCCCACTGAACAAAAAGAAAATGCACCAGAGGGAAGTACAGATGAGCACAACAATAGGAACTCCTCCAAAAAGAATCATGGCGAAGGGGACATTACATTAAGAAGAAACACGAGTCCACCTGAGGACGATGACTTTATTTTTGCTCCCATTGATACTGGTTTGAATGAAATCGTTAAAAAAACATCACTACTGCATTCCAGCAACGAGTTATCTCTTCAGCCTCTGCCTGAAAACACAACTGAAAAACTTTTAACATTTATTACAGAGAAAGAAGACTTGCTACCACAGGGGAAGCAGGTGAAGACAGCTAAGGCTCGTGCAGATCAATTGCAAAGAGATTTTAATGAGAAAGACTGTGATGGATACACAGAATTACAGGACACCAGCAACTGGAGTCTGCCCAAAGAAATGCAGTCTTGCAGTGCTGTGGCAGATTTTCTGCATCTTCACTGGTCTGGGAAAACACGATCAGTCTTCAACACAGGAGATCATTTCCAACTGGATCAGAGTGACGAGGATGGACATTCCTTCTCAGTCCCACAAGGCTTCTTCAATGAAAGCACACGACAGAGTTCGCGTTCATTCCCACAAAAGACTACAGGAAATACAATCTCTGAAAGCATTGATTCCAGCGAGATGGAGGATGACACGACATTGACAGGACTGGAGAAAAATTTTACAACAGCTGGCAACCTCCAAAATTCAAGTGAAAAGCTCAGTCAAAAAAGTCAGAACAATTCAGGACAGGGACAGTTTTTTGTTAAGAAGAAAAGAGCATTTGATGGATTTGCTAATGTTCTGCAAAGCAGGAGAACAAACTTCAGTAGTTGAGACACAGAAGTGTGATATTAAGCTCCCACAATGTCTATGTCATATAGTAGGTGCATAAATGATTGTGTAGTAAAAGGAACTGTGTAGCTTTTAATAACTATTGAATACCATGGGTTGGGGGTTTTTTGGTGCTGTTTTTTTCCCCTCAGAACAACTATCTGCCTTTAACTTCAGAAATCCAAGTTACGGAACTAGACTTAACAAGGAGACATACAAAGCCTGGATCCATCTAATTTAAAACCACTGTAATTCCAAAGGGTAATTCAGGCCAGAAGCCATGGACTTGTGTTTAGTTTAGAAGGGTACTTGTAAACAAAAATAGATTTTTATAAAAAACAGCTCTAGGATACTGAAATGATAAATGAATAAAGCTTTTGCTGAGTTATAATAATAATAATGTATATTTACTTTCTCATTATTGTTGGTACTAAGATATTAGTTTCCCTGAGAATTTGCCTTTGATATGCACGGTTTTGTTTCTCTTTGTCTAAAATAAATGTAATACTGAAATTATTGTTACACTATTACCATTATTTTGTTTTCCTGCGGGACTCACCCTATACAGTGAAATAATACATATTACTGTCTTCTGCTTTTTTAACCAAATTTCTGGATTAAAGGTCTCTGAATTCCCACAGTTTTGCAAAGATACTAAAATCCAAACAGTATTCAATTACAGTACAAAAAAATTACTTTTTAACTTGGCAAGACAGAGTAACAAAAGCCTTCTGTTTCAAAGAAACAGAACAGAATTAAAACAGAAAAAGTCAGTTATGGAGATCTGCCTACTGATGGGAGATCACCTGTAGTTTGCAGATGTGATGACATAGGTAGGGTGATTTAAAAAAAGATATGCTATTACAAAACTGTAATTCCCTATAAAAAAGGATCCTATACCCACTTCAGAACTTTACTGAGAGGGGCAAATCAAAAGCAGCTTAAAACTGCTGTATTAGAAGATATCAAATAACTTTTTTCTAAGCGAAAAGATAACAAATATAAGATAAATTTTTCCGCGAATATTTTGTAATACTGAAAAAAGCCCAAGGCCCTTTTAACATACAGAGTCATTGCTGTAGTCCTTGAAGGGGAATGACATCACAAAGAGGAGCAGGCCCAGGGCCCCAGAAGGGAACGCAGAAGGCTGGCCAGCAACTCTGGGGAAACTCTGTTATGAAGACACAATTAATTCACTAAAACCTCTGAAGAGAAGGAACACCTTTCAGTTCCATCAGATGAGAAGCAAGTCCAATGGTGCAATACATCTTTGACACTATCTTTAAAGAGAAAGCTAGGAAAGAAGAAAGAGATGCTGACAAAAGCTAATAATTTTTGTTAGCTTCGCATACTTGGAACTAAAACTAAAACAAAAGTTTTGCAAAAAACCTAAGCAGCAAGTAAAAGCAATTGATCAAGGAAACCAGCGCCAATACTATTTCATCTCTTGAAAAATATTTTCTTTAGCCCCTCAAGGTCCTTGTAAATAATTATTTGACACACCTAACACTACAATTATCAGTTACACATTTACTAGGCCAACAGTCACCCACGCTTAGCTCTCCTAGTGCTTTGGTTTGGTTTAGCTTTTCCCCCCTGGCTGATTTTTCTCAGATCTCCAACATAACTCAGAATAGGTTATATAGCAGTTTCAGGTAGGCATTGCATGGATTTGATTTAGCTCACTACGGAATTTGCAAATAACTGCACTTAATAACATCTGTAATTCAATTACAAGCAATGAATCTGCTGTCATTCACACAGATCTTCCTTTCCAACTGGTTCTCAGAAGACTTCTGTTCTTTTACTCCAGTACTTGGTGATACCTAAACCAATAACTAAGTTGGATTTTTTTTGTTTTTGTTTTTGTTTTTTTTAAGAGCAGCTACTGGCTTCATTCTTTCAGTAGGAGTCCTTAGCTTTGCAACCAAGGATGAAATAATCTTCTGAAGAAATTGATAATTTGTCATCAAATTATTCAGGAGTTTAGGAGCCTGATTTTGTTTTTCAAACAAAAAGGACAGTTTCACACAGGTAACTGTCTAGAATTGTTCATACAGTCTGAACAGACAAGAACTAAATGACAAAAGACTCAAATCTGCAAAAAATCACAGCATTCCCAGAAATGTTAAAAATACAGTTACTCTAAAATAAAGTATTTTTCCCAGTACAACTCATTCCTTGATTATATGTATCTGTCAATGTTATACCCTGTTCTACTGCAATTTTTCTCTCCTAATCCCCACATTGTCTCAATACTCATGTAATGCCTTGGCTTCTACTGAATTTAAGGCTGCTGTTTTCAGAGAACAGCGTGTGACAAAAACCAACTGTGTTTTTAGAAGCTGTCTAAAAGTAAAGAACTGTGTAGAAGTTTCAGACTGATTCATCATAGGAACAGCTACATAACCACTAGGAGCCGAAAACAGAACAGTATTTCCTCATCACCACCACTTTTCTCAGCACCCATTAATCAGCTTTCAGTAAAGCTCATTGTACACAAAAGTTAATTGTGGCCAAAGCAACTTTAAAAATGGAATAAATTGAAAAAAAAAAAAAATGGAGATTTGGTCTTTATGGCATGTATGAGTCTTCCAACACTGTGCTGACAGACCTCTCCAAGATAGCCTTTTGCCTGCACCAGCTGTTAACAAGAAATCCAGTCACATAAGCAAGCCAATTTCATGGATCATGGCAAAACCAATGTATATGAGTAGTTCCATAGATGTCTCACATCCCAATGTTTTATCATTTGCTTCTGCTACCGTTCGGCAGGCTTTCAAAATATGTATCAGAAAAATATTTTCTCATCTTTTTCCTGACAGTGTGAATGCTGCAGGGGGGATGCAGACAGCATGCTCCTTGGAAGAAACTGTTGAGTTTTTGAAGCCTCCCTCTATGCCGTAGTGTTACGGAGCAAGGTTATCTGCAGTTCTCAGAGAAAATAAGTTTGCTCCTTCATCAAAGGATTTTTAACATGAGACAACATTTCATTCCACTGTCAGAATATTGTTGTTCTGTCTCAAACTTACCTTCAGATTTCTGCCTAATCTTGCACCTTTCCATTGCTACTGATCGCTCCAGACATTCTTATTAGCACTTGTTCATTCAAACCCAAACACTCAGCTGCTTCTCCTTCATATTAATTCCTCACTACTTTAGCTATTGCTCTGAAATACAGAACTTTTTCTATTTTCTGTGGCTTCCAAGCAGTACTCTTCATACCTTGCTCCTCTCCATCTATCCTATTCTCCATGCCCTTCTGTATACAATAGCTACACAGTGCCCCACTCACCAACTCCTCCTGAGATTTTATCCACTCACTTTTCTTTACATTTCAGCTGGTATCAATCCACTATATCTTGTTTGCACTGAAAACTTCACTAGTTGAGCTGGTTTGATCACTGAGAATTTTCTAGAATACCTATACTAGTACAAAACCAGTTGCAGTTATGGCGGTATAAATGTGTATTATACAGACACCGCCTTCTTTTTTCCCCCCTGAATAGATGTTAGTTGCAGAGAGGCGTAACTTCAGCGGCTCCAGGGATGCTGAAACTTCTTTGGCTTCACCAGTAACTTCAGGTAGCAAAACTCACATTCAGGTAAGACTTGCGTTATCACTGTCACAGTTGGTAGTGGGTAAAGAGACCAAGTCACAGAACAGGCTCGACAAAAAAGGTGGCTGAGCGTATGCTGTATGAATTTGTAAAAGAAGCACGAGGATGCAGCCAAGAGGATGTTGGCAATAGTCTGGGCGCACCCTGCTCCAAGGGCATCAGCATGCTGAGCTCAGGGGTCAACAGGACATACTGTGCTTCATACAGTGTCTCAGTACAGGAAAAAATACCCAAGTCTTAAAAGTAGATCAAGAACTTCAGATATAGTTATCAGAATGAAACAAAGCTCTCATTTTCAATCACATATTTATGATACTTTGATAATTATCAAGTTGTTTGCTGTAGGTACAAAGCATTTCAGTCTTTCCAGAGTATGCTGATAACTGGGCAGGAAAAAACCCCTTGAATATAAAGAGAAGACATTCACATTTAACCTACATATAATTAACATCAGAAACTATTATTTGGATGTTAATATCCAGGTTTTCGTGGTACAGAAGACTGAGACTTACCCCTTCTGATAAATACCAGCAGCAAGCTACATTCTGAGAACTGGTGAAGGCAATCCCAGCCTTCATCACCAACACGAACATCACAAAGAACCGCTTCTCCAGAATGGGCTCTATGTTACAATATTCTAATTGTAACATAAATACATTCAACTTCAAATATTTAAGTCAAGAGCCTTAGGACTGATAGCTCAAATAGTGCAAAATATTAAAAAAATTCTTGTGGAATCTGTCTTGTGTTCTTCATTCTCTTTGCCAAGTTTTAAGTCTGTTTCCTGTTCAAAACCAGATTTGTAACTCTGCAAGCAATACAAAGTATGCAAATTAACTAATGGCTCCTTTAAAAACTAAATTTGTGAATGTATTAGGGACATTTAGGCTGTAATTTTCATGTCTTATTGCTAGCAGTTTTTCTACTGCTTTGCTTAGACACTATCACTTTTGCTTGACAAAGATCAACGCAACAGCTCATTGCAAGTCAAATAATTGAAAAACTCTTCTAAAAGGTAAAAAAATGCAGAAGTGTTTAAGGTCATGAACAGACCCTCAAATCAAAATATCACCACATTTAAATACCACTAGACTGGTGGTCTCTTCCAGCATTACATTTGGGTAACTTAGAGAATTTTCTTTAGCATATGCTTTTAGATATCACAGAATCACAGAAGGGTTAAGGTTGGAGGGGACCTCTGGAGGTCATCTGGTCCAACCCCCCTGCTCAAGCAGAACCACCCAGACTCAGTTTCCCAGGCCATGTCCAGACAGCTTTTGAGTATCTCCAA